CACAGGTGTAGACATGTGTAGTAATGCTAGTGAGGAGAGGTATCTTCACTATCTGTACCTCCAAGCTCACATGGGCAGCATCAACCACCACAGCAGATAACGCTCACTGACCAAGCATGTTAAAATAGCAGAGTGTGACAGGCTTGCTTGGGACTTGTCACACATCGAGTGTCTTCAATTTAATGAAATGATTAGCAGGCTGCATACTTTGCCAGGTGTCTGCAGCTCGGAGAGATTATAGATGGCATCCCCCAAGAGTTTGTGAGTGCCCCAGCACGAGAGCCACCTCTCAGAAGAGCTGAAGCTTTATGCTGGCCCACTCGCTCTGGTATTTAGGGCTTGAGAGGCAGAGGGAGAGTTGGTTGGGTCATGGCAATTGTTCATCTTTGATTCCATCTGCGAATGTGATGCCTGCTGTGGAAAGACTAGAAAAACCTGGAGTGCAAAGAAGAGGAATGGAATCAAATAAAAGAGGTAGCAAGAAGACCCAGCTTCTGCTATGTTCTTTAAGTCCATTTCAGGGGAAGACTGTCATAGAGTAAGCAGTAATTTTAGAGGAATGGCCTTCTTAGACTTCGTGATTTCTGGACTTTATCACTTGGGTAGTTTGGATGGTTAATCCTGGGTTCTATTTTTAGCTCTTTTGGAGTGAAAGCAAGAGTTCATGTGCTTGGCAGGAGTTAGGAATTTTCCATTCATTCCCCATTAGGGAAGCACTGATCTGACTCGGGGCCATCAGAGGAGGTCTTGCTCATATTTCAGTCATCCCTCTGTGTCATCGCCTGGACCTGACTCAGGTTGAGGAACAAAGGGAAGTGGTGACGAGACATCCTTCCAGAGGATGTCTTTGTGGTCACCTATTCCTACTCACCATGAATTTAAGGGCCTTACAGGACCACTGCTGGAATCTGTTGACCCATGGTAGGCAGAAGGACAACTTTTTGAGGCAAGGAATAGAGCAGAAGGTCCCTTTCAGTTCATTTTCTACCTAAGGAGCAGTGTTCCTGCAGGCACAGCCATTGACTCATTCTACTGCAGGGTGGCCCTACGTCAGTTTGCCTTGCAGAAAACAAAAAGTAACTTAATTGATGCAGAGAATTAATAAATTAGAAGAGTTGATATCATTTTACAAACAAGCACTTGGCCTTCCACTTGGGCCATCACCAACCTGCAGAGGCGGCCTTAGGGAGCCAGAACTGCACTGTGTCAGCATCTTCAGCAGGAATAGATTTGAGGCCAGCAGAAAGGGTTAGGGAAAGGTGATAGAAAAAGACAAATGACTACCCTATCAGAAGTCCCAGCCCCATGTAGACCATACTGAAGTATCCAAACACTGGAGATGTCCTGACATGTAACTGACAAGTTAAAACGAGGACACGTGCAGGTAATGCAGGCTGTGAGTGGGGCAGAAATGAAACCAGGGGATTTTTTTTTTTCCTTGAAACAGAGTGGTCAGGAGCAGACACTGCCTCTCTCCTAGTTAGACATGAATAGTTTCATAGTATTAAGTGCTCAGATCTATCTGAGAATCAATAGAATTTGGATCTTTTTTTTTTTATTTTATTTTTATATTCCCCATACAATTGTAATTTGGAACTCGATGTGACTCTGTAATTTGTGTTAGTGTTCAAAGAAGAGTGTGGACACATTAAAACTCCAGCCTTTCCCATTTCCTGAGCTGTTGTGCAGGGCTGGTAACTGAACCAGAGAGCTTCATCATCCATAAAGGAAAATAATACCCAGGACCCACTTGACAGTTTTGGAGGAGTAAAAGGGCTTACCTAGAGCTGTGTCTGCCGTCTAGAAAATGTTTGGTAAAACTTAGCTTTAAATTGATCATTCGCGGGCCTCCCCTTTGGCGCAGCGGTTGAGCGCTGGGTTGTGAAGCTGCCCACAGCCTCTGCAGCGCCGGTTCGATCCCCAGCTGCTCCCCGGCCACTGGAGGAGGGTCCCACATGGCGCGCAGACCTCTCCTGCCGCCCGCTGCTCCCCTCAGCAGTGGACTTCGGTCCCTCTGCCTGCTCTGCTCCCTGCTCTGGCTCTGGTGAATTCTCTCACCCTCCCACACTTATGACTGTACCCGGTGCTTGTATAAACAACAAACAAATAAATAAATAATACATGCCTCTTTAAAAAAAAAAAAAAGATTTAAATTGATCATTCGCCAGACCTTGCCAGAATGTAGTCACTTTTCTTGTCATTTTAGCCACCAGGTTCGTTATCTTTGACAATTGACCTTTTCTTGGTTAGCTATTGATGAATGTAGTTAGAAACTGGTTGGTTCTATAACCTGCACTTGCAAAAGGATGGGGGTGAAGGGGGCATGGCTCTTCTGTCAGCCCTCTTCCTCTCTCGCAATGGCCTGTGCTTCCCAAAAAGGAGAGGGTACCTGGGCTCTAATCTCACCTAGTTTCCTATTTCCCTTCTACCTCTTCTCTCTTCCCACCCCCTTTTTTTTCTTTCATTCTCTCATTTGATTCCTCTCAATCTTGTTCCTGTTTCTCATAAAGCCAAGATGGATGGGGCAGGCCTGGCCAAGGCCATCAGCGTTAGCTTTTTACCAAGTTGTTGCATGTCTGAAGGTCTTCATCAGCAATCTATGCCATTGGCACTGTCTCCAATGGGGGCCTCTCCTCTTCACTGGGCCTGCAAGCCACTCCTTCCTGAAATGTTTCCCTGATTCCTATGTGACTGCAAAGTGAGGATTGATTTGTCGTGCTCCACAGGGGCCACTGCAAGTTGTTGAGGGAAATGTTGGCTTGAGGTTACAGATTAGAGTTAGCATGTTGTTTTTGTTAAGTTCCAGGTGTTCTCTGGAACAGGTGTTCTCTGGAACCCTGAGAGTTAAGTTCCAGGTGTTCTCAGGAACCCTGAGAGTGAACACTTCAGTAATACTATTTCTGGATGATAAGTACTATATTTCCATTTTCTGCCTGTGCTTTATAGTTAGTGGATATGAGTGTTCACAATTACTCTTGATAATAGGAACAACTTAGTTTTTTCACTTGTTTAAGATTATTTCAGGGTAAATACTGAAATTTGCCCATTCTAGAATACCATATTTTCTTAAGTTACAGTAACAAGTTCAATTTCAGTGGCCATGTTACACTGTTGTTAGAACAAGCATATAATCCATGTGCTGAGTCTGACTAGAACCCTTTCCCTATTTTGAGTTCTTCAATCTTTGAATTTAGAGTTGCATCGGAGCCAGGAAGTATTTAAAAAACACACACAATACACAGAAGACTGACATGCAAATTCTAAACACATTTAAATCATTAACATGGAAAAGCACCTTTAGCTAGAGTTGCAAGTAAAAAAAGGGAACAATGGAGTTATGATAACAACCGACACATATGGAAACTGCTAAGTGGCAGGCACTTAGCATGTGACACTATGTCATATATGTTTATTTAAACCTCAGACAACCCAGGGCAGTGGGCAGAGCATAGAGGGAGCGTGGCTTAGTCATCAGGAAAATGTGCACTCTCGGGTGTGATTTCCAACATTTCATTTCAGGAAAGGCATGAATGTTGTGGGCTGACATGGAAAGAGAAAATACTTCATAAATAAAATGGGGAGAGTGGGTTCAGTGTCCCACAAAACATGAGTTATTGCTCCATTATTCTTAAAAGAATCAGAGTTGTTGATACCTGTCACTAAAATAACTGTTTATTATGAAAATAGAGGAATTTTTAGCAGTATGAATATTGTGATGTTTCTTAGCAAATGCCCTTAGATAACCTGGGGCATTTGCTCTCAGAAACCCTAAGTGGCACATGTGTCACCCAAGTCAGAAGGCACCAGACGTGGAAACAAGGGTGTGATTGTTGTCTCTTTGCATTTGGCACAGGTGCTTTGAAGGCATTGAATCAAAGTCAAAGGAGGTTAATAAAGAAGGAACATTTGTAAGCCTGATAATGTTCGTGCTACATAGTTGATACACATTTTAGCCAGACTTCTCTTTTTTTTTAAAGATTTATTTATTTATACAAAAACTGGGGTACAGGCCAGAAGTGTAGGAGGGTGAGAGAATTCACCAGAGACAGAGCAGGGAGAACAACAGGTAGACGACTGAAAACACTGCTGAAAGGAGCAACGGGTGAGACAGGAGAGGTCTGCTGCGCCATGTGGGTATCTCCCTGGCCAGCCAGGAATCGAACCCACGTTGCAGAGGCTGTGGACAGCTTCATAGCACTGCGCTTAACCCTCTGCACTACCGGGGAGGCCCAGAATTCCCTTTTTGGAAATATTTGCTTTGGGAATTGTTTGTGTTCTTAGGAATGACTTTCTTGGATGCTCTATATGTTGTAGATTTCTCAATTGAAGAGAATTTACATAGCACTTATTTTTTATTGTTAGTAGTAGTAATAAGATCATAAATATAAACGTTTACAATGGCTCAGTAACCTAGATTACAAATTCAGCACATCTTCAACTACTTACCTATTTATATCATAGAATGCCTTTGATTTGAAAATAGCTTATCAGTCATTTAGTTATGAATGGCATTCTTTGCACTAAATAAGAACCTCAATATGCGTTGAGTTTTCCTCTTGTTCCTCCTGTTGATACAGAGAGCAGAAAGAAAAACTTGGAAACCTTAAGTGCAGGTGTTAGCCTTATTACAAAGAGAAATGTTTCATGTTAATAATAGTGATGATAATAATTACCAGTGTATAATGATGTATGAGAGAAGGTTCGCGTATAGGACACAGACATGCAAAGTATTGCAGGATAATGTATATAGCAGTACAACAGATAAAAGCACAGCCATGGGAAATACTAATGTTATATTGCAAGCTTTGTGATTGAATGTGATACAAATAAATGAGTCAGACTTGGCTTGGTAAGTTTTTGATGTTATATAATGAGAATATTATCTTATTAAGAGCTAGACTTTACAAATATTTGCTTAATATGATTCATTAATTAAACATATGAAAGTGCTTATCTAGCATAAAACTAGGGGACTCTCGGTATCCGTTTTGTTTTTTCAGAATGAAAGTGCCCTTGTGAAAGAAAAGAGCTGTCAATCGAACTTGCAAACATCAGGGATGAAGTTGGTAAGTAGGGCATTGAAAATGAGGAAACTAAAGAATGTCTTTTCTTGATGCATATGAATGTGTAACAAAAGCAATTATGCCTCACATAATAAGCCAGAGCAGCCCTGCCTAGACAAATGAAGTGTCTTCCCCTGCGCAGTGGTGGGTTGTTGGAGCCTTGCAGGGAGCCATCATTGTTACGTTTCTGTTGTTATAGACAGTCTCTTAACTGCTCGCAGTGGAACTAATCAGGCACTGCCTGGGCTCTTTACAGATGGCAGCTCTAATGTACGTCTGACTTGTGTGCTATGACAAGCACCCCTCCAACTAGGCAGCCCCACAAGTCCCAAGAGAAGCATCAGCTGGGTGGATAAGATGCAGGTATCATGGCTTCCTGACACTGGATACCCTGCTGTGAGGTCCTGGGTGATAGACAACACAAATCTGGGTGGATTCAAAATGTTGGAGTTCCTGCTGAACTCTTCATTTTAGGCTGGTGGGATGGTATGGTTCAGTCTGACCCTTAAGAGACTTTGCAAAGGCTAGGGTGACCCCCACACCTGGAAACATCCCAACAAAAGGGCTTTCACTCTAGGCAAAGGTTAAGCAAGTATTTACCATGTTGCACTTGCTCGATCCCATTTTTCTCTTAAAGTTCTGTTATTCTGTTTCCCTGGGAACTAGTCAGCAAAGGTGAATTAAATGGCTCCTTCCCTTGGCCTGCTGTTCTCCTGAGAGCCACCATTTCTCCTACCCAGTGTGGTCCTAAGTATTGGTGGGGCCTCCTCCTTGTGAGCGAAGAGACCTGAGTGTCCTTGGTTAGTGGCACAGTGCCATTTTCTCCAGGCTGGCCATGTGTAAAGGGCAGGATTGGCCAGGGTGCAGGTTTTCTGATCCCATGCAGACCGGGTAAAGGAGGAGTCTGAGTCCTCAGTAGTTTTGCAGGTTTTTTATTTGGGGTTCACCAGGCATATGGCAGGCAGGGGTGCTGGCTGGGGGGCTGGGAGGCCTGCCAGCCTCCCAGCCCCCAGCAAGTCTTCACTCTATCTGGACTCTCTGGCGTTCGTTCTGCGGCTTCTCGGCTGCTTCTCGGCTTCTGCTTCGACTGCTGCTGCTGCTGCTGCTGCTGCTGCTGCTGCTGCTGCTGCTGCTGCTGTCCCCGTGACGCCGCCCTTAAAAGCACAGTCTTAGCTCAGCTGAATCCCATCTACCCATGCCCACACCCTATTCCAGGTGCCCGCCATCAGGCATGCATTCAGGACAAGGATCCATCATCTATCCTGATGGCGGAAGGGCAGAAAAGCCTGATATTTTCTTTACCCTACACCATGCAAATGGTAGGGAGCCCGCAGGCCAGACTTCGGGGATGCAGATCCCGAGGATGTACAGAGCACAGGGTCATGATTTCCAAACTTAGCTTCCGCCTCCACACACATTTTTTCTGTTTTTTCATTTTTTTTAACTTAAAAACTTTCTTCTCTCTTCACTGTGAGTCTTGTGACTTTTTGTCCTTGAGATGAGTCAGCAATGGCCTCTTCTCTCCTCTAAGGAAAGCAGGCCCCTGTGGAAAAGCCATAAATATCAATTCTTCTTTCCAAGCTCACCTGTGGGTGATCAGAGCAACAAACTGTCCTGCTGAAGGTACCTATGCCTGGCCCCCCTTGGAGGTGGCCCAGTACATAAACCCAGATTTTCTTTTCTGAGAGAGGTCTGCTAGGAGTGGTGATGGCTGAATCTGTGTGGAAAGCTCCTAGGAATTCAGGGTCCACAAGTACAGTGTCTTCTCCATGAAATGGGTGATTTCCTAGGTGGTTCTGAGGTTTAATGATCAGGGACTTTGGAAGCAAATGACCCAAGTTCAGATAGAGCAAGTTGGTTAACCTCTTTGCCCTCAGCTCCCCTCCATAAAAAGGAAGTCAATTTAAGAAGATAATGGTGATCAGTTGACTCATCTGTAAAGGTAACTCATAACTACTAGGTATGTAGCACCTTGAATCTAAAGATAGAAGATAAAATCTTCCACTCTGGGGTGATTTCCACCCTGTCTCCCCGTGTATGAACTTTCGGTCTAGGGGTGTTTGCTGTGACCCACTAGGTAAGGCATGCTCAAAGCCACACTGCTTCTCTCTGTGTTTTCCTGAAGCTTCTGAATGCAGCAGGAACCACACATGATTACACTGGGTTTTGCATGTAAGTCTTATTTGATTTCTGCACAGTGCTAAAATAGAGCCAGAAATCACCTGCTAAATGAAAAGATGATGGGGTGCGGGGAAGCCGTGTAAAAAGCCGGAGTCTTGGCAGACCCACAGCCAGGCCACGCAGCCCTAACTCTTCAGCAGCAACCACTGAGCCACTGTAGAAAATTGTTCCTGAGAGAAGAAGGGAATATGTGCATCAAGTGTTAACTGTAAAATCCATAAATTCTAGTGTCTTCACCTGCAGTGTATTCCCTTGAAGGGGAAAGAGAATTACACTTTCAAGCCTGACTTGTGAATGATCATATAGAAAGAAAGATGGTCAGTCCTGTTTCCCTACCCCCACCTACCCTTATTTAGACCTCTTGGCGGCTGGATCTGATGAAGGCCCTACAGAAAAGGGACCATGGTGGATGGGGAGGGAGGGAAGAGAGATGGTATTTCTGAAGGTTGTGAATTCAGACAAGGAAGAAGCAAGAAGCTGCAACTATAATCAGAATAGTTAAGGGCCATTTATTGCAGATTCCAGAACAGGGAGTGTCTATCCTCACATCTAAAAATTACTGTTTTAACTTTTCATGTCAATAAAACACTGCACTAAACTCTACCAATATCTACTAGTAAGTATCCCCCAGTGAGCCATCCCCTTGATGTAAGTAATTCAATCAAACACTAGGAGCATCTAGCCAGAATCTGCTTTACCTGTGCTGCTCAGCCTGGAGATCACCTTGAGTGCTTTTTAAAATACCGGCCCAGGGGGCCTCCCCGGGTAACACAGAGGCTGAGCGCTGGGCTGCGAGGCTGCCCACAGCCTCCGCAGCGCCGGCTCGTTCCCCAGCCACCCGCGAGGGCCCACAAAAAAAAAATACTGGCCTGGACCCACCGTAGAATGACAGAATCAGGATATTTGAGGTACTTTTTTAATTACTCAGGTGTTCCTCAAAGAATCAGTAAGCTACATTAAAGGACAAAGAGGGGGAAAAGGGTGAATTGGACTAGGTCTAGGAGGGTAGGGTCCCATGGTCAAGGGCTCTGGGCAGCAGGAGAGGCCTGGAGGAGAGGCCCAGATGGGTGGGAAAGGGTACAGAAAGGGAACATGCAAAAGTTCTGTCTGCTTTGAAGTTACACATAGGGTCAGCCTGGCTCCGTGAAAAGGGAAGACTATTCCCTTCCTTCTCTTCTTCCTCCCTTTGCCTTTGCCTGACAGGCCTGGATGGCAGTTCTGAGTGAGCTACCATCTAAAGGGTTAGATGGCCTTTCAGAAACCAACCACAGAAAGAAATGCCCAGTGTATTTGCTGACACTTCATATTTACAGTACATCCCAGTTTGTCTGGGGAAGCTACAACAGAATCTTCTAGATGGTGTGTGCCTTGAATAGTGCCCCCTAGCAGAGATTTTGATATGGGTTATCCCACACTGATTGGAGCCTGGTTATAACAGTTTTTTTTTTCTAAAGATTTATTTATTTATGCATACAAGAGCCAGGGTATAGGCCAGAGATACAGGGGGTGAGAGGATTCACCATAGACAGAGTGGGGAAGAGAACATACAGACTGACGGAAATACACTGCTGAGGGGAGCAGCGGGTGAAATAGGAGAGGTCTGCCGTGCCATATGGGTAGCTCCCTGGCCAGCCAGGGATCGAACTCGTGCTGCAGAGACTGTGAATTGCTTCATAGTGTGGTTCTTAACCCCTTGCGCCACCAGGGAGGCCCCTATAATAGTTTTTAAGTAGGAATTTGCTGTCAGATAAACTCTGAGGACTTCTCATGAGTGATGCTTTCTGAGACCACTTCTGACATCACATGTGTGGGAGATTTTTCCACGGCCACAACCAATTCTCCAATACTAGCCGGGTCTCCAACAATTCAATGTAGTGAAGACGCAAACTCTCCAGAGTTAGTGCAGACCCTACTGGTGCAAGACTAGTCTTCATCAGATACTACTCGCAAACCCCAGGAACCACCTTTCTGACCAACCAGCTGTAAATTTGGAGGTTCCCACACCCTCTTCAAAGGTTCAAAATAAAATTTAACTGGATAAATTTAGAGATAAATTGGCTTTATTAAATGATTCATGAATCAGGCAGCCTCCCATCTGGCAAGGAGAAAGGCACAGCAAGGAGTCATACAAAATGAAGGCTTTTATACTTAGGAAGTAGGTGGGACAAGAAAGAAAGATGATTTCAATTGAAGGCAAGGGTCTTATCTAAATGCAAATTATTTACTAGTGCTGAGCAGGAGATTCCAGATTGGTTGGTTTAAAATTCCACTTTGGGGGCCTCCCCAGTGGCGCAGCGGTTGAGCGCTGGGTTGCGAAGCTGCCCGCAGCCTCTGCAGCACTGGTTTGATCCCCAGCTGCTCTCCGGCCACCGGAGGAGGGTCCCACATGGCGTGCAGACCTCTCCTGCCGCCCGCTGCTCCCCTCAGCAGTGTACTTCGGTCCTTCTGCCTGCTCTGCTCCCCGCTCTGGCTGGTGAATTCTCTCACCCTCCCGCGCTTCTGACTGTACCCAGTGCATGTATAAACAAAACAAACAAACAATAAATAAATAAACATGCCTCTATAAAATTAAAAAAATAAAATAAAATAAAAATAATGATGAACCCATCTTATTTAAAAAAAAATAAAAATAAAAATAAAATTCCACTTTGGGGAGAAGCTCAAACTGGATTTAGGTTAGGTATTAAATCATGGTAAAGGTTGTCATAAATGACTCCATTTCAGGCCTGTTGTTTCTTTTTTTAATATCAGGCTCAATAATTCATAAGGATGACTCAGAGGATACAGGAAGACTCTTTGCTTACCTTCATCACTTTATTATA